CCCTGAAGGAGCTGCAGGGGTGGCTGTGGACCTGCCCCCACACTGCCTGCTCCAGGTGAAACCTGTTTGTGGTTAAACTGCCCCAGCTGAGCCCTGGGACCAGCCAGGCTCCTCCTGCCCCATCTGCAGAGCCAGGGAGCAGGCAGGGCCGGGCAGCAGAACCTGTCCCCTGGTAGCCAGGGGGACAGAGAATCGCAGCCATGAGTCTGTGCCTCAGTGTCCCTGCCCTGAGCAGGGACTGTGACAGCCACGTGGAGGGGAGGGAAGCCTCTGTCCAGGGAATCCTTTGGGCTCTCAAATCCTTTGGGCTCTCAGTGCTGCCAGGCCCCTCTCCCTGCAGAAGCATCCCCAGCGCAGGGAGGGAGCAGGGATCTGGAGCCCAGGGCAGGGCAGGGCTGGGGCCAGGAGGGGCCCAGCTCCATGGGAAGGGTCTGGGATGAAACATCGCCATGGGCTGAGCCCCGAGCTGGCAGCGGGGGCGGTGAGGGGGGCTGGGACAGGGCAGGGGCTGTGGAGCTGGGTGGGAACTGAGGTGCTGATGCTGGGAGCCCTCCTGAGCCTCTCCTGCAGGTGTTGGCTGATGTCCCTGTGCCCTGGGCTGCCCTGGCACAAGGGAAGGTGCTGCTGCAGACCAAATGATGGGAGGAGTTGCAAGCAGACAACAGAAGGTGGCTCTGGTTCCTGTTTTTAAATCTGTATTTTTGCGTCGGTTCATTTCCAGAATTTCATCTCTTTTCCCTTCACAAGTCCCAGAGGTTTCCTAGACACGGAGCCTGCTCTGTGACACTGTGGGGACAATCCAGGAGTGCCAGACATGAACCCAAAGCCATCCCAGCCCAGGGACACATTCCCCAGGGGACAAACAGGAGGCGAGTCTGGGGCTCAGGCACCCTCCCATCCCGGCAGCCACGCACAGCTTGAAGCTCCCCAGGCTGTCCTGGCTGTCCCAGAGCAGCAGCACCTCCCAGGCTGGTGGCACTGCGGTGTCCCCTGCCCCTTGGGCACGCCCTGGGCTGTGCCACCCTGCCCAGCTGAGCAGGGAATGCTGGAGCTTGTAGAGGCCTGCGGAAATTCAGCTTCTCAAAGCAACTTTTGGGCCATTTTTGCTTGGTTGAGCTGGACTTTGCCCTGTCAGGAGTCCCAAAGTCAGGGCTGGCAGCCACACGTGGTGCAGAGAAGTGGGGAAATCCTTTCCCTCCCTCCTGCAGGCCTCCAAAGCCCAAGTGATGTTCAACCACCCCAAACCCCAAACCCACCAGCTCAGGGAAGATGCTCCAGCAGCTCTCTCCTTGTGCCAGGCACTCCAGGCTGTCCTGGCTGTCCCAGAGCAGCAGCACCTCCCAGGCTGGTGGCACTGTGGTGTCCCCTGCCCCTCGGGCACGCCCTGGGCTGTGCCACCCTGCCCAGATCCCAGGTTGCCCTCTGGGATGAGCCACGGGGACTGGCAATGTCCAGCTGCTTCTGGAATGTTGTACCCCTCATTTCCCTGGGCTTGGTGGCCACCTCCCCTTCTCCTGCCACCTCCTGGTGTTCTCTGGTGTTGGGAAGAGGTGGAAGATGAAATCCTGGGATGCTTGTGCTGAAATCTCTGCAGGGTTTGCCCATCTGGGAGGGGTGATGGAGCCAGAGGCAGGCTGAGGATGGGGGTGTAGGTACTCACAGGAGGATTTTGAGCTGTGGTTGCTTTGTGCTTCAGGCAGATTTTCTCAGGGTCAGGAGGTGCTGCCCAGCTCCCCTGGGGGGAATAGTCTGATTCCAGACCCGAGATTCCCAAAGGAGGAGGCTCTGTCTGGGCCTAACCCAGAGGGAGAGCGAAGCAAAGGCTGAACCTTCCTGAGGGGTCAGAGCAGCAATGACCCAGCACTCCTCACATCCTCCCATCCTCACTGCTCCCATCCTCTCCATTAGTCTGGAAGCTTAATTAGAAAATCCTCCCGTGGCCCTGTGCTCAGTCTGATCCTCAGCCTCTTCTCCCCTCTGGGTTATCTGACCCACCAGCTGCTCTCCAGGGGGATCTGCCCTGCTGCAGACCCCAAACTGCTTTCATCCCCCCCGAGGCTGCTGCAGCATCTCCTGGCACCTCTCAGGGATCACAGAAGAAATGGGGGATCACAGAAAGGGACCACGACACTCCTTGTGCAGGCCTGAGCATTGGATACACATTTATTGCTGTTCAGCTTTAGCTGGGAATTCTGTGGAGGGGGTTTGGGTGCTGCTCCAGCCTCCTCACGCTGCTGCAGAGCTCCAGAGCATCTCCTCTGCACGCTGCCTTCCCTTGGAGGCAGAGCTGAACTTCCTCTGGCCCTCAGTGGAGCAGGGCAGTCAAGATTTGGTTGCTCAGTTGTTTTTTTTTAGACTCTCTTATCTCATCAGCAGGATCCCAAGTGTGGACTCTGACCTGGGGGGTTTTTCATGGTTATGTACATTTAAATCTGCCTCTCTCACGTCTCTCTTGCCACTTCCATGTGAGACATTTACGGACAAACCACCCTGGCACAGCAGCACAGAGGGAAGATGTGCCACTGCACACTCCCATTTCACTTGCCATTAGGAACATGTTTGAAAGTGCCACAGCTGCCTTTGTGCCACTGGGAACGAGCAAATCAGAGATTTGGGTAGAGTACACTCTGCTAGGCAAATGCACACGAGACCCCTGGCAAAGCTCACGCCAAACACTGCATCAGTAGAAACCATAAAAATAAAAGCTATTTATGACACGGCCTTTATTCACAGAGACATTTGCCCCAGGGCTTTGTTTTGCAGTTTAGCTGGATGACAGATCCCCCCTCTCCTCTGCCCTGTAGCCCACAGCACCCCAGAGCACCCCAGAGCACCCCAGGGTAACCCAGGCCAGCACAGACCCCACAGGACGGGGAAGGGGGAAAAACCCTGCGGAGCTCCCCCAGCTCAGCCCCAGGGGAGCCAAAGGGATCCAGAGAGGGAAATGCCAGCGGAGTGCTGACCCCTGGGGGGTCTGTGCCAGCCCCTCCCTACCTGGGTGGGCTGCTGGGCCAGCCTGGGCTGGGAAATAAGAACAAGGCCCCCCTAAGGCACTGTGGTCACACCCTCGCCCCTGCCCCAGCCCCTCCAGAGCAGGACGTGGGGTGGGAATTTCACAAACCCCAGTGTAATGAACAAAAAAAGCCTTCCTGGTTCCCATGGCAATACTGGGACACTGCTGGCTTGAGCCAAGTACTGATGCTGAAATGTTAATTAGCTAATTGCTCTGCTTGTTTTCTCTAAACCACCTGGGGATCACCTACACCCCCCCAGCCACGCTGCCATTCTAGGACTGGGGTGCAAACAGAGGAACCTATTTGGTTCCTAACAGAGGAATCGTGGGCAGAGGTTTTGGGGATGAAAACACCCCTAAATGCAGGGCTGGGCACAGTGCAGGGGGCTGGATGGATGCGCTGGCTGGGGAAAGGGAACCACATCCCTGGGCTGTGTTTGATCTGTCACCAGAGCCTGCAGGGGACTGGACTGGGCTGTGGGAAGCAGGAATAAAGGAACAACTCTTCCTGGTGTTACCAGGAGGGAAGGAGAGGTGAGAGCTGCTGCTGGACTCCAGCAACAGACTGCACACCTCTGCACCCTTGGGCTACCAGGGAGGAAAGGAGAGGGGACAGCTGCTGATGGGACTTCAGCTACAATCTGCACACCTCTTCACCCTCCAGCTACCAGTGTGCCACAAAGACTTCAGGGACAGACTCTGCACCCCTTCTCCCCCCTGGAAAAAGCTACAGCAGCGGGGGTGAGCTCTGTGTTGAGCCCCCTGCCCAGCTGATCTTTTTAATAAAGAGCTGAACGTTAATAAAGGCATGAGCCCTGCTCATTTCACCCAGGATGTGGAGCCAGTTCCCATCTGCTTGGGCATCGTGGAGGATGGGGATTGCCACGGGATTGCCATGGGATCATCACAGGATTGCCATGGGATTGCCCCAGGCATCATGGCACGTGGGAACACAAACACGCTCTGCCTCCAGCTGCCACTGCCTCCGAGTCCTTTGGTATCTTGAGTTGGCCTGATGGCATCCCAGGAGCATTGGGGTGAAGTGCCAAGCTGGGGAGGTGTGGAAGCAGGTGGGAATGCCCATCCCATAGTCCCAGAGCACGGCTGTGCCCGCCGGGATGTGCAGCCTGGAGCCTCTCCCCAGGGGGACAGGGACACCACTGCCCTGAGCTCCCCAGGGCAAGGGATTTGGCAAAGCCAGAGCCAGGAAAAGCTCCTCTGGAAAGGCTGCAGGAGAAGGGCCGGGTATTTTTCCTTCTTCTTGGGCACTGATTGGTTCAAGTTTGTATCACAGTGAAGTCTGAGACGTGGGGAAAGAACCCAAAGCACCTTCCCTGCCAAAGCCTCGCTCAGGCTGGAGAGCCAGGCCAGCTCCTCCAGCCAGGCACATCCCACCCTCTGACCACAGAGCCTTCCATCCCTCGGGAGCAGACTCTGGAGCTTCTCCCTCCACTCTGGAGGGGCACTGGCAGCCAAACCGGCTCAGCCCATCCTCAAACACAAGTAAACAGAAAGAGAAACTAAGAGGCACTATAATAACGCGGCTCCGGGAGGCGCAGCCTGGCCAGCCCCGCCTGGCTCGGGGCAGCCCCGGGTCAGATGTCCTGCAGGGAGTGGCCGGGCTCGCTGCGCTCCCGTTTCACCAGCGGCTCTCCCAGCGCCCGCTCCGGCTCCACCTCCGTGCCCAGCTCGTTGATGTCATCTGCAAAGGACACGGCTCAGAGCGGGGCACGGAGCCACCCGGGGCTGCTGGCCAGCCCAGCAGGCTGCAAGAGGCAGCACGAGGTTCCCTCCCCCTCCCA